TCCCCACTCCCCCACAGCCATGCCGCTGTGCGGCGCAACGCTCTGGGCGGTGGGGCTGCAGAGCCCAGCCTGACCCAGTGCTCTGTGCTGCGCGGCACGGCTGCCTGTCCTGGGGCAGTGGTGCTGCCAGCCACTCGTGCTCCAGGCAGTGCAGTAAGGGGCATTGGATAGAGGGCAGGGGGAGTTCGTGGCATGGATAGGGGTTGGGGCAGTCAGAGGGTGGGGAATGGGGGTTGAATGGGGGCAGGGGTCCGGGGGGGCAGTCAGGAAGGAGAGGAGGGGTTGGATGGGGTGGTGGGGGGCAGACAGGGAGCAAGCGGGGTGGATAGGGCAGCGGTCCCCGGGGGGGCGGGGGCAGTCAGGAAGGAGAGGGGGGGTTGAATGGGGTTGGGGGCAGTTAGGGGCAGGGGGCGGTTAGGGAGAAGGGGTGGTTGGATGGGGCAGGAGTCCCAGGGGGCACTCAGGAAGGAGAGGAGGGGGATGGATGGGGCGGTGGGGGGTAGTTAGGGGCGGGGGTCTGGGGACCAAGAGCGGGGGGGGGCGGTGGATGGGGCAGGAGTCCCGGGGGGGCCATCAGGGGGTGAGAAGTGGGGGGGTCGGATAGGAGTCAGGGGCCGGGCCATGCCTGGCTGCTTGGGGAGACACAGCCTCCCCTAACCTGTCCTCCATACAATTTCAGAAACCTGATGCAGCCCTCAGGCCAAAAAGTTTGCCCACCCCTGCCCTATAGCCTTGGTCGGGCACATGCTCAGTCACACTGTGGGGACGGCGCATGCCCAGTCCAATTGGCAAGTCAGAATCTGAGGAGGATGGAGCATGCTCAGTGCAGACAGAATTTTTGGAGAATTTAGCTGCCAAACTCTAACAACCTCTCCCGAGCATGCATGAACTGAAATTTTTCAGAAGCTCAGAACCTGGCCAAATCTGGGTTCATTTTCATGGGGATGGCAAGAGGCACATTCCTGACACCAGGATGACACCCCCCAACTTGCCAAACTTCAAGCCCCTGCTCCAAAGCATGGAGGTGCTAGAGCTTCTCATTGAAACAGCTTGAGATTTTTTTTAATAGGGGAAAAACAATGTATTTCCCCCCTGATCTTTTCCTCAGAAATGGGCGCACTGTTTTAGCTGAAACTTCCCCACAAAATTCAGCCTGAGGCGGTCACTTCACATGGAAAATTTCTGCTCAGACAGTTTATGTTTGGCGAACAACTGAAAACAGGGTTTGTGTTTATGAAAAGTGTGGGGAAACCTTAACTATGGTCATTGCTACCTGTGCTACCTATACCAATAGTATTGTTTATTGCAATGAATATAGGGCCTCATGCTCCCATTTTAGGGTTGTTGCCATGTAGGGAAGTAAATACAGATTGTCCCTTATACTAAGGTCCCTTTATACTGTTCTGGCAGTGTAAATGGGTTTTAACATGTGAGTATATTACATCTGTACCTACTTCAAGTGAGTACAGTCAGTCTGCAGAATTTTTCTATTCAGTTGCATGGTAGGGAAATGTGTCCCCTAAAAGTCTGGAGGGTTTAACCTCCTAAAATTGCAGTTCCCCTTTCATCCATGTGGACTTCAGGGACGTAAAACAGCCAAGGGCAATCTGCTTGGAGGCTTCTTGCTTTCTATACCTCTCTCTGCTTCTTCGTGACAGCCTGACTCATACAGGGGCTTCAGGGTCTCTGCCAACCCAGAAAGCTTCCAAAGAGAGGGAGAAGCCATACACTTTATTGCAGACTCCATGTAAAAGAAGTTGAACTGATTTACTCTGTGGGTTTGAAGTGGGGAAAGAGAATTTGTCACTTTCTGCCTAATTTCTTTCCTGTTCTGCCCTCCCCAATTCCCTATTTAAAACCGAGGTGCCTCTTGTTCAAGCTGCTGCAGCCCCATCGTCTCTTTCCTTGCCCATCCTTGCCTTTTATGCTGAGCAGTTTCATGGCTCCCCCCACCCCCACCCCCCCGCCACACACACTTGTATAAGGAACTAATTATGATTCTATCATTAGACATGTGGAAGCACAGGCTGAGGAGGCAAGCACCACACAGCAGGGTATAGACAGGTCCCTAATGAGCAGTGGGGCATGAGTAATTGGGCCAGGGGATGCCTTGATTTGACGGATGGGATCAGAGAAGGGAGGAAATTTACAGGGCAGGAGGCAACCAAATTAAACGAATTACGTCATATAAAATACAAATGTCGATAATGAAATGAGCTACGTCATATAAAATACACATGTCGATTTGACTATTAGATAAGAGAGCTAATTGGAGACAGTAATTATATTACTGTAGGGAAATGTCCAGAAATAGATATTCAAGCCATGAGTTTTTATCCAGCTTTTGCAAAAGCCTTTATTTTGTAGCAGATACAGATGACAGTATGTGTCTATACACATCCTGACTAAAGTGTGGGCTTGTTTTTACACTGTCAGAACATTTGTAAACAAGGCAAAAATGTCTGATGGGGATTATTGAATTCAGAAGTAAATGCTTTCTCAAAATGAAGATTTCTTCAATAAAAGAAATAATCAACAAGCAAAAATTCTTCTGCAGAGAGGGCAAACACTAACCCTTCCCAATATACTCATGCACACGCTAAAAGAGAGCAGTGCAGCTCCCTGCAAAAAAGAGCAATTGGAGGAGAGGAACTATTGCTCACAACTTCCCTTTGGGCTCTTTTAGAAAGAACAGCACTACTCCAGAGCAGCCCCATCTACCTCAATTAATGCCCACAAACAAGCCAACAAACTCTCATAGTCAATTGTATCAAACGTTGGTGACAGATCTAATCATCACAGGCACACTATCTTCTTCCATTACCAGGAAGAGACCATCAACTAATGCAGTCAGTGAAGTTTTTACCCCAAATAAATGCCTATAATCAGATTGACTGCAATCAAGGAAAATAAGGAATCAAGAAAGCGCCAGAACTGCCTTGCTACAACCTATCATAGAATCATAGAATATCAGGGTTGGAAGGGACCTCAGGAGGTCATCTAGTCCAACCCCCTGCTCAAAGCAGGACCAATCCCCAAATAATCATCCCAGCCAGAGCTTTGTCAAGCCTGACCTTAAAAACTTCTAAGGAAGCAGATTCCACCACCTCCCTAGGTAACACATTCCAGTGTTTCACCACCCTCCTCGTGAAAAAGCTTTTCCTAATATCCAACCTAAACCTCCCCCACTGCAACTTGAGACCATTACTCCTTGTTCTGTCATCCGCTACCACTGAGAATAGTCTAGATTCATCCTCTTTGGAACCCCTTTTCAGGTAGTTGAAAGCAGCTATCAAATCCCCCCTCATTCTTCTCTTCTGCAGACTAAACAATCCCAGTTCCCTCAGCCTCTCCTCATAAGTCAGGTGTTCCAGTCCCCTAATCATTTTTGTTGCCCTCCGCTGCTGGATGCTTTCCAATTTTTCCACATCCTTCTTGTAGTGTGGGGCCCAAAACTGGACACAGTACTCTAGATGAGGCCTCACCAATGTCGAATAGAGGGGAACGATCACGTCCCTCGATCTGCTGGCAATGCCCCTACTTATACATCCCAAAATGCCACTGGCCTTCTTGGAAACAAGGGTACACTGTTGACTCATATCCAGCTTCTCGTCCACTGTAACCCCTAGGTCCTTTTCTGCAGAACTGCTGCCGAGCCATTTGGTCCCTAGTCTGTAGCAGTGCATGGCATTCTTCCGTCCTAAGTGCAGGACTCTGCACTTGTCGAACCTCATCAGATTTCTTTTGGCCCAATCCTCCAATTTGTCTAGGTCCCTCTGTATCCTATCCCTACCCTCCAGTGTATCTACCTCTCCTCCCAGTTTAGTGTCATCTGCAAACTTGCTGAGGGTGCAATCCACACCATCCTCCAGATCATTAATGAAGATATTGAACAAAACCGGCCCAAGGACCGACCCTTGGGGCACTCCACTTGATACTGGCTGTCAACAAGACATGGAGCCATTGATCACTACCCATTGAGCCCGACAATCTAGCCAACTTTCTATCCACCTAACAGTCCATTCATCCAGCCCATACTTCTTTAACTTGCTGGCAAGAATACTGTGGGAGACCGTGTCAAAAGCTTTGCTAAAGTCAAGGAACAACATGTCCAGTGCTTTCCCCTCATCCACAGAGCCAGTTATCTCATCATAGAAGGCAATTAGTTAGGCATGACTTGCCCTTGGTGAATCCATGCTGACTGTTCCTGATCATTTTCCTCTCATCTAAGTGCTTCAGAATTGATTCCTTGAGGACCTGCTCCATGATTTTTCCAGGGACTGAGGTGAGGCTGACTGGCCTGTAGTTCCCAGGATCCTCCTTCTTCCCTTTTTTAAAGATGGGCACTACATTAGCCTTTTTCCAGTCATCTGGGACTTCCTGCTCAATTACCTTTCCTAAAGATCTGAGGAAGAGCTCTGTATGGTTCAAAAGCATGTCTCTCTCAGCAACAGAAGTGGATCCAATAAAAGATATTACCTTACCCACTTCATCTCTCTAATTTCCTAAAGTCAGCAGATGGGACTCAGGCCAATAGTTAGTCAGATTGTCAACTACATGTGTTGGTTTCTGAACTATGGTGTATTGTTCTTGTTGGTAAGAGGAATTCAGAAAAGGAGTTGGATTAAACACGTTTTGAAAGGTAGAATATAGTATTTTTCAACCTCTAATTGCTTTACTTCAAACTAGACATAACAATAAATCAGATCCTCATGAAGCTGTGCCTATTTACATCAGTGGAGGATCTGACCCAATATTTGTACTCAGCTTTGTTACGGACTTAGGGCTTGATCTTGTCCTGTTGTGAATAGCCCCATTTAAGCCACAAGGGGACTACACACAGTACTAAGCAGTATGCCCAGCAGTTAGCAAGTCTGGGCCCCTAGTCATGTAACTGATATGAGCCTAGAGATACAGCACCCTTTAGATTAGTTTTCAGTATTGTGGGGGGTAAATGCATCCACAAACACACATACAGAAACATTGGTAAGGAAACTCACCACTGCTAGAAGCATCGCTGAGATTTAGCAGCCCACTTCCTAACCCTCTGTAACTATGGTAACTGTAGGTCCCATTTCCATTGATGTACAACACCTCCTGTGTGCTGGAAACAGCGGATGTTGAATAAGTGACCTGGGCTGGCTCTTGTTTATATTGTTTGTCAGCTGGAGCAGCTTCATCCTGCCAAAACAATGTTTCATTGTAAGGTTTCAAATATTTGTTAAAGTTCACCTTGAATGAGAGGGGCTGTTTTATTGTTATTTAAAGCTCTGGAAGTGTTATTTGCACAACAGTGTAATAAACAAGAAACAAGCATGTACATGTTTTCAACTGACAGTTTATCAACTGAAAAGAAATCAGGAGAATAACCATGAACATAGATTTCCTACAACCGCCACTACAATTTATTTATTTGCATTTTGCTAGCAAATCACAACATGCTGGGTGCTGTCCAAACACACAGGAAGACACAGACCCTGCCCAGAAGAGCTTGCAATCTCCTGAAAAACTTAACTCTAAATCAAAACAAAATGGAAGGAATTGAAAGCAAATGATTACTCTCTGGCATTTAAAGCAACCCTCTTGGTGCAGAAAATCAGTTTTTTCTTGTTACGACAAACCAACATAAAATGCATTGGCATGTTCTCTAAATGGATCGATCAGCATCAAAGATACCAGGAAATAGCAGGGGGGAAAAAGAGAAGGAAATCATGCTTTCCATATCTGTGGAATGATGTGGCATTACGACACAGGAGACCAAACTTTTCTGAGCTGGAAGCTTTTGTTTGTTTATTTTGCAAATGAGTTTGAAGAGTTAGACACAACCAAGATTATTCAAGAGAAAAAACTGTATTATTGAGAGAAGCTTTTAAAGTATGTTGCAGCAGAATACTGAGAAGTCAGATAATGAATTGCATTAATAACCAAAATGGGCACTGGGGACATTAATTTGTACTGAGGCATATATTTGCATTATTAAGATACTTGGCTGTACTGAATTCCACAATAAGTTCTCTTCAATAACATATAAGAATCCAAATAAAGGATAAAATCTGCAATGTATTTTTGCCAAAAGTTTAATGTAATTTACTTTTTATCTTCAAAGGTCATGCTGTCTGTTATAAAGCAGAATGGAGTTTTTTTCCTGTGAGAAAATATTCAATAAGCTATGCAGTAAAGTTTTAGCTTGGCAAGAAAGCATAATTCATCATCCATTCCCTAAAATTCCCAAAGCTGCTGCCTTATTTTCTGATTTGATATGAGGACTTTTTCCAAAACTAGACGATATTTCCATTCACATACTCGCTCAGGGCCTGATACAGTTCCCAGCAAAGTTGATGAAAAGGTTGACTTCAAAGGGAGCTAGATCAGGCTCTCAATCCTCTTTTACAGGGCTCCCTCTTGTTTTAAAAAGCATTAGCTTCCTCCTACTTTGTCCTTGCAATTGCACTTTGGATAAAAAATACTCTCTCTGTCTACCTAGATATTTATATCATGTTCTACAACAGATTTTTTCTTTCCTTCAAGTGTCTTTGCTTTTAAAATTTGGAAATGAAACAAACTACAGTGCCATAAGTCTGAGATATTTGATGTTCTATGCTAGTTGATCAATACTTTCTTGGTAGGTACAACAGAACAACTGGCAGTCTTTGCTTCAGGTTTTGCAACACAGGCCTGTATGGAATGATGCCTGTAACCCACATTGCGGAATTGTTTATATTATTCACTGAGGAATATTCAGTATTATGAAAAAAGACATTGAATGGTAAAACTCTAGTAATGTGTTTGAAAAGAAAAGGATGCTACTTTCCAAGAACCTGTGCTTGCTCACTGTTTCCCAACAGTATTGGGAGCACAACTGAAAGGAACAGTGGTCAGAGTACCACTTGCATTGCCACATATTGAAATTTTGTAATCCTAATTTGCCGACATTTGCACCGGTCTTTTCCTTTTAAACAGACATGTATATTTTTAAAAAGAGAGGACTAGATAGAGCTGTATACAATTTTCCTACAAGACAAAAAGGTTTTTTGGCCCATTATTTAACAAAAAAAATAAAAAATAAAATTCCAGAACAGATTAAAATTAAAAAATATAAAACAATACCAAAATAAGCTTGTGTTTCTGTCCACTTTGACTAAACCCAACATTTTTATGGGTTTGAAAACAGTAGGAAGTTTTCTTTTTTTGACTAGGGATCTGGTGAACATACTGTAAAGGGAAACAAGAAAATTGAGTTAAGTTAAGATTCTGCACTGAAGCCACTTCTAGAGCCATTGTTTGCATGAGTGAAATCTACAATTACATGACACTACCAGCTCCTTTTAATTGTTTAAAAATGTATTTAAAAATTGTGGATTGACAGAACCGGAGACTATTTTATTCACAAAACAAGTACAGCATAAGCCAAAGTACTGCATAAAGACTGACGTAGATTTACTGGCCAGAGTCTCAGCTGGTATAAAGATTGGCATTGTTTCCTTAATTTTTGAGGGTGCTCCAAACTTTATATGCATTCCATCTTCGGCTTCTTCACTGAGACTGCCAACAAGAGTGTCAACTATTGCCAACTGTGGTTGTGTTTTTCGTGATGCGCCCAAAAATCATGACGAGCATATTAAAATGCTGACATGGGTCACACTTTATATTAAGGACACATTTATAACTAGATTACAAAGGGTTAATAAATGGTTAAAATAGATATTTTAATAAATGGATAGTCAATTCTTACAACATGCTACTCCTGTCTGTAACATGCTTATAGAACCTATAAACCATTTATGAACCCTTTCTAAACTATTTATAAATGTACCTTTAATATCAAGTCTGATCCACTTATGGCTAGACACCTGTTCACCTAGCATTTGACTAAAATCATCATCATTCTGAAAATAAATGAGATCACATCCTTCTAAAAATGTTTCTCCTTCCATTTCGTAAAGCAAGTACTTAGGACCTGAGCACATTGTCCAGGAGCTGTTGGAACACACGGGTTACATCAGAGAAGAGCATAAATACCTTTTTGGCACAATTCATTCTGAGAAATAAGTTACTTATTTGTTTTAGAAAATAGGAGCCTGCACACATGCTTGGTAAGATCATTACCATGGCATTTATCACAGTAAATACATTCTACTTATGAGTCTAAGTGTGTAATGAAGGAGAAATTTTTCCTAAATCAGTAGGCATACATATATTATCTAACCACAGAACTGATTAAGTATACATTAAAGAGTAGTACATTATTTGAAAAATGTACATGTTTCTGTAAAATGTACATTACACAAAAACTGCACTTTATACAGCCAGCTGAAGACTAGCTTTCAAAAAAAAAAAAAAACAAAACACGCACAGCAATATGGGTCAAACATAATCTCCATCAATCACTTGTGAGTACATAAAGTAGGGTTGCCAGGCTTCCAGTTTTCGACTGGAACACCTAGTCGAAAAGGGACCCTGGTGGCTCTGGTCAGCACAGCTGACCGGGCCGCTAGAAGTCCGGTTGGCTGCAGCGGCCAGCTCCATGCAGCTCCCGGAAGCAGCCGGCATGTCCCTCTGGCTCCTAGGTTCAGGGGGTTCCATGCGCTGCTCCTGCCCACGGTGCAGGCTCTGCCCCGAACGCCAACTCCGCAGCTCCCATTGGCCATCTCTGCAGACAGGTGCGGCGCACAGAGGCCCCTGGCCATCTCTGCACCTACGAGCAAGAGGGACATGTCGCCACTTCCCGGGAGCTGCCTGAGGTAAGCACCTCCCAGAGCCTGCACCCCAAACCTCCTCCCACACCCAACCCCCTGCTCCAGCTCTCTCCACTCCCACACTCCGAACTCCTCAGCCCCAGCCCAGAGCCCCGTCCTGCACCCCAAACCCTTCATCCCTGGCCCCATCCCAGAGCCTGCACCCCCAGCTGGAGGCCTCACCCCCCAATCTCCTGTCACAGCCCAGAGCCCCCTCCTGTACCCTGAAACCCTCATTTCTGCCCCCCCCCGAGCCCACACCCCCAGCCCAGAGCCTGTACCCCCTCCCACACCCTAGCCCTTTGCCCTAGCCCGGAGCCCCCTCCCACACTCTGAACCCCTCATCCCCACCCCCCCAGCCCGGAGACCTCTCCTGGACCTCAAACCCCTCATCCCCTGGCCCCACCCCACAGCCCACACCCCCAGCCAGAGCCCTCATCCCCTCCTAGACCCCAATCCCCTGCCCAAGCCTGGAGCCCACTCCTGTACCCCAAACCCCAAGGTTTCCAACATGGCAAAATTTGAGTAGATTTTCCTAGGGGGAGCAAAAAGCTCATCCCTGACAGATAGGCCACCCCTGCCAAATTTGTAGCATGGAAGTGCTAGAGCTTTTCAAAGGAAAAGTCACCAGAATTTTTTAACATGGATAAAACAATATATTTTTCCTTAGCCTGATTCTTGAAAACAGCAGAATAATTTTGGGTGAAATTAAAAAATCAGGCACAGAGACATTCAGCTCAAAAGATTAAAGTTTGGAAAACTTATAAGCAACTGAAAACAGGGACTTCCAATGGGACATGTCAAGCCACGTCAATAATAGGCATGGTGAACAGAGCTGTCTATAGTATACGCTGTCCTAACAGAATGCTATGCTTTATATTAGGTTTATCACGTCAGATTAACTCTCCTGGGTTTGAATTTTATGAACAATAAATCTGGAAACCCAGATAGCAGAATAATACTGTGGCACATCATAGAGGGCAAAGTTTTCCTTTTATTTTAATTTGAATAAAGTTGTTGACTGAGTGTGATCAGCAGTGATGAAACTTTTATTTCTGAAGAGGGCACAGATGTGATTTTGTTTGGCTTTAGTTTTGGTTCCCACTTTATTAAGCCCCATTAACAATGTTTGTTCTGGGATCACTATCCACTGAACAAGACAAAGATGTATTTAGCCCCCTGACAGGACTGAATCGAATAAATACAGGCATACAATGCATATAGAGTGAAGTTCAACATAGGACTCAAGCATAGGCCTTGTGTGGACCCTATGCCCGGGGTAAATTTAAAATATTAATTTTTTATATTCCTTTAATATGACATTTTTTTTGAACAGTTGAGGCCAGATCATAGAATCATAGAATATCAGGGTTGGAAGGGACCTCAGGAGGTCATCTAGTCCAGCACCTTGCTCAAAGCAGGACCAATCCCCAATTTTTGCCCCAG